CTATGCTCTTCGGAGGAACGTCTATCCAGATTTTTGCAAACGAGGCTTAGGGACTCTCAGAAGGTTTAATAGAGTGGACACAGCACTGCACTAATAGCGCTGCACAGATTTGGGATTGGAGCTGGCTGGTTGCTAGCCAGCTTGGATTGAGGACAGGATGATCTTAGTCTGGCCTGCAAAAGACCATGGAAAAATATCCAGAGTCCCAATCCATACCTTAAAAACAAGATCAGACTGTCCTTTCAAGCGGGTGGGGGTGGGGGAGAGAGTTTTTTCCAGATTGTTCTTTTTCCTTTGTGAGGGTGGATCTTATTATGAGCACAGCTGAATTTCTAGATGAAGAAAATTCTCCCTCTCACAAGTCCTGCTTGATCTTACTATCACAAACTGTGTATACACCCCTAATATGTTCCTTGACTGCCACTTCTATGTTCCCCTGCTCTTCGATCAGAGATAAATAAACCAAAGACAGCATGATGCCTGTTATCTAAAAAGATTCAGGTAGAGCAAGTATCATAGCACAATCAGGGTACTTGAAAATTGTATTTTCCTGGAAAAGACTTTTACTTGCCTTCCTGGATCATACACAGAGGAAGTCCAAGGTCTAGAGGGAGAAAACAACTCTTAGTAACAGAATGTTTGAACATTCGTACAGGATTAATTACTTGTTTTATTTTTTCTTTAATTTTAAATGATTGTACTGCTAGCAAAAGTGAAAAGTAAAGACTCTGATCTATGCCAGGTACTTAGTACATGCAAATACTCTGCAAGTTTTTCCTATCTTGAAGAATTTCAGCATAGACTACAAAGGCAAAGTGGACTGAACCGATCCCTGGAGAAAACATGTGCAACTCCACTTATATAAAGACTGCTTGCTTCAATAGATCTGTATCCATTTATCCTCAGGATGAATCCACACATTTTTCTATTATTAGATGGACATCCTATTTCTAATGGAGTCTATGTGATCTAAGGACTTCCACTTATTTTTTTGAGAAGTAAAATTCTATGCTTATATGATGAACTGCATTACTGAACAGTGCTGTAAATATCAGTTGAGGTACAGTAACATTTGCAACATCATTATGCTAAATCTGAAATACTGGGCTACATAAAAAATTTCAAACAAAGCTCCTGTTCAGTCTTGGTACAGCAAATCTTTTGTCTGTGGCATATCGCGCTAGCAAATTAGTGCAACAAGGATTATACAGCTCTTGAAATGTCATCAAAATGGATGAATTTCACAACAAATAAATAATGCGGGAAGAATTGTAAATTTCTAACAATTATTCCCAGAAACCTATTTCAACAAAAATCTGCATCCTAGATATGATTATGGCTCATAAATTTCTAGTTAACATTTACTTATGACAATAATTAAGTCAATTTAAAATATTCAATGTGGGACGAAGGCAAAATATGTAAGACCTGAGGGTTATGAGCAGTGGAAAATAGGTCCTTATAACAGATTACTTGTGAGTCACAAGGGTTGCTGCCAGGTTCTCACTGTATAAAAGTCAAACGTCAGGTTGCCTGTACTTGGTTATGATTAATGTGAGACCAGGTCTCTGTATCCTGTGAGTCATATTCTCCACTGCCTTGGCCAACTTTCCTAACCTGCCTGTGCTCTTACTGGGGGAAAAAAAAAGAAGTGTATTTACCCTAATACTTGGGCCCTTGTGAGTCAGCAGTCCTAACTCTATGCTGTGTGCTTGGTCAGTGCGATAGGAATGCATAGCATTTGACTAAGGGGCAATACGACTCAAGTAGTATTTTGTTCACATCTGTGCAAGCAGTACATGTTCTGTCTACACCAGAGGGAGCTCAGACACGACAAGCAGAGGTTATGCTATAGCTTTATTTTCCACATTGCACAACCACAGGGAGACATTTTCAGAAGACATTCAGGATTACAGAAACGTTTTCACTGGATTATACTAACTGATGGCCTGATCGGTTTGTATAATCCATGAACTTCCTCCTCCTAAACTAAGAAACTCTATTGATGAAGGTGTGCACACTCCCAACTGGCACTGAAAATGTGTTGTACATCATCTCTTTGGTAGGTTTTCCAGTTCTTACCAGCGTTAGCAATGGTGATTGGTACACGTCCAGTAGCAGGCATCTGGTTATCTTATGTGAAGGTAATGAAAGGGACATGCCAGCTGTTCTCACTGAACAATACAAAAACATTTCTGGGAAGGTCTTTTTTGTTTTTACAGCAGTACTTGTGTTGTGTTGAATTTTACAGAGCTCACATGCTGAAATACAAGCAACATCCAGGCAGCCTTGAGTGAGTTGTTTAGCACCTCCCTGTACCTGAATAACAGCATGTCATGCACTCTCAACTTGTGTAAACCAAGCATCTGCTTTTTAATAGACAGTAACTATCTCACAATTAACATCAGTGGAGCTGGAAGAGTTTCCACCAACCATTTGCCTTCCTTTATCTCCGGTCCTCCAACCACTTCTGCTCTCAATTCCTTTTCTAAGGTTTGTTTTTTTCCCCAGCTTCAATATACCCTTTTCCTTGCATCAAAGTAGGGTCTGAAGCCTGAACATCTCACAACACTCCCTTGTCACTATTAGTTAAAAACTCTGCCACAACCTGTTCCACTTCACCTTACTCAAGACTGTGAGAAAGCCAATATTCCAGAAACCTCAGAGCTAAGGCCCAGAGCTTTTGATGGAGTCCATTAAATCCACTGGGAATCACATTTTGAGGATCTGTAAATATCTGATAGAACTCTGGCAACATGCAGGTGCTAGGACCAATGAATATTAACACAGAAGAACAGAGCTCAGGCACCTGCAAGGCAGTTAACACGTAGGAGAGCTCTTTGTATACAGGTTGCGCCAGCATTTAAGTGCTAGATTATGTTTAGCAACACCAAACACAGCAATGCCTGCTTCATTTTCTCCACCTAACAGTTGTCTTCAGGGTTTAAAGATTTATACACCCTTCTCCACTCAGCATTGAAACAGGAGCTAATATCCTTCCCCTTAGCAAATGCAGGTCCACATCTCCAGTCTAGTTTGTTTTCATAGAAATTTTGTCACCCTTATTTGTTCCAGTGCGACCAGTTTTGGAGTAAAGGCTCTTGATTGAGGGCAGCAGAATATGATCCCCAGAGACTAGTCTGGGGCTAAATTGTGCCACTTGCATGATGAAAGAGGCTGGCAATATATTCCTAGAGCATGAGCTTTTTGAATAAATCACAAAAAGCGAAATTAATTACATCAAATAATTCTATGCTTCAAATCCATAATTATATTTAACAACAACAACGTCCAGCATTATCATCAGCTATCACAATCAATGAAGGTTGATTCCAATGGGAGTGCTGTCAGACTAAAACTGAGCGCAGGACCCTTGAGTACAGTATAACCTGAGATAATGGCAGTGTAAGAGGTTTATTCCCTCCCTCTTTCCTCTTCTCTAGGAACCTCATCCTTCCTTGCACTCTCACCTTCCCACCCCATCCTGCCACTCCCCCAGTACAACTAGCCCTATACAACTATTTATGAAGTCACACTCTTAAGTGGATCATTGAAAGGAATTGGTTTAAAAATAGGACACTTTTCCTTTAGGAAGAAGAGATTGGAAAGGAAGGAGCAACTGCTCAAACGCACCAGAGATGGGTAATCTGAAGTCCTGACCCCAATGGCAGGCAGTCTACTCCAGAGTGTGAGATGTGATGCAGATCTTTAAAAAGCCTGTTAAAGGTACGACATGAAACAGCAGCCCTGTGGAGCTTGGAAAAAATGTGCTGTTGCTTGACAAAGTGCACCCAAATCCCTTCTTTGAGCTGTTCTTTAAAAATTAAAGTGACCTCAAGCAAAGCTTATTTCAAAATGTTGTTTGTTAGAATAAACACAACAAAACAACAACAAAAAAACAAACCCCCAAAAACATAGCAAGATCAGTGAAGGAAATAATTCTTAAAGAGTATTCTGTGATGTCTGTATTTCCACAGGAAGGGCCCTTGGCATTACTGTGGTGAGAGCGGAGGACATTTTATAAACATATTTCTATAAAGTATTCAAATTGGAAATGCCCATTTGGCTGACTCCCCCCCTTTGCAGCTTGTGTACTCCTTCAGCAGATAACAGGGAGGACAGCTCTTGCTAGCAGGCTGCTCTCAACATTCTCTTCATTAACTCTGGGAAAAAATAAAAGCTCCATTCTACATTGTTTGATGGTAATTAGAAGCTGAATCATGCAATGCGTCAACCCTCCAATGTTCTTTGGGTGGTTACAGTTTATACTAGCATATTATACCTAGTTTTATTTAGGGCTTTCTTAGAAACCTATGCTATTAGAGAGTGTAGTTTGGGGAGCTGGTGACAGCATATAACTGTGGAAAAGGTGTATTTATAAATACTACAGAAGGGGAATCAATGTTTAAAAAAAATAAATCTCAGTGACCTCTGGTTATGTTGGGAATCTTTTCAGTTCACAAAAAGAATGTGACTGTTTTTCAGCACAGATGCAGAAGACAGACAATTCTTCACAGAATCATCACAGTCAGAGAAGATGCAGACTGTTTTTCCTTCTCTCACTGAGCCACTCTGCTAAATTCAGGGAGCTACTAGTTTGGAATTAACGGTCTCTACCGGTAGAGGCCAACTAGCATTTCAGTATTAAGGAAGATCCCACAAGGTCAGCAACCAGTTCTCTACATAACATTTATGGTATTTTAAGGCTTTCTATCTAGTTAAGGGACTTCACAGGCAGCATTACACTTTACTTGATGTCTAGAATTGCTGTATATGAATAGATCGGTCATTTCAGATAGGTTGCCAAAAAAGGATGAACAAAAGTCCCTCTTTGGCTATGAGAAAGCAGTTGGTTCTCATTTGGGTAAGAATCCTTATTTCTGTATCTATCTGTTCTCTTACATCACATGAATTGCACTCAGTTACAGCAAAAGTTGCGAAAGGCTAGTTCACTGAGAAACAGACATAACATAGAAATAGAACTGGTCATTTCAACCTGAAATCACTTCATCTGTATGAGCCAAGCAGTCAGCATACCAGGGAAACTCCAAGAAAAAGGAAGTACTATTTAAGTTAGGATGATGATTCAATAACTGACATGCTTCTCTGATTTGGAACTCAACCAACATCTTGGCATGACGCTGTCTTTTCACTGCAAATAGCTTTCTCCTTCCTCAGATGGTGCCCATCATATTTATGAACATACTCAAAGAATGAGTATAAGAACCAGCACATGCAAAAACTGTAAAGCTCATTTTATAAGTAAAGTTGGCTGTTTGTGTTTCTTTTTATCTAACTCAAATGCTTTTTGAGGAGAAAATATTATATTCCAGGTCTGTTTCTAAGCAAAGAAATAGAAAAACTCTCAACTCTGTTATACACAGTCTCAAGGAAACCAGGAAGACAAGATCTGGTGGTATAAAACACAGCTGGAGGCAGATCAAAGCAATGCAGGCACTTTTCAACAAGAAAGACGACAACTTTTCTCAAATGAAATTAGGGCTTCTACTTAACTCTTGTGATGCTCAGAACATCTGCATTCAATATCCCAGTTTTTTACCCTCTCAGTAGGACAGATGGTAACAAGGTACCCAATTCCCAATGGCTTTCAAAGAGATTTAGGCACCTGCCTCACACTTGTTCAGGACTTCTTTCTCCATGTTATTTCCAGCTATGACAAACTGCACACAGACTAGGAGACTCCATTTGCCACTTTGCTGTCAGCCTGCAGTTTGCCCTCACATAAATTGCTTAACCTTTGTATTCCTCTTTTTGGCCACCCCATTTGTGAAGTAAAAAACCCCACCCTATTAATATATTTAATACTTTTTAGAATGCTTTGCGCTTGCACTAGAGGTACATTATAAATACATGCAAATCTAAATTACCAACATTCAAAAATAACAGGAAAAATACTTGTTGGTGGATTAACTACATATGATCAATGCCAAATAAAAATCTCCTCTGGTTTTGCTGAGGTCATTTAGTGCTGTACAATCCTCATGAAGTAAATATTTCTGAAAGTGGGGAATGCTCTGAGATTAAGCAATACATTACATTTTTTGATCAAATGCCAGAAGCCATAGGTGAATAGGAAACAGACATCAGTAATTACAGTTCGTACTTCAGTTATTTCAAAACCCCTTGCTTCAATGAGCAAGTATTAACTGGACAGACACTCCTTCACAAATTAGAGGTTGCAAAGGCTTATTACACACCATATTTATCTTTGAAACTTGTCCAACAGAATTAAACTAAAAAAAATAATGATACAGATTATGGTTGCAGGCAAAAAACTATTAAAACTCTAACAACTATATATATGTTTTTATCTGTCAAACTGTCCCTGCAGCCACTCTTTGGTTTAGGAGCTCAGGAATGTGGTATTAAGAAATACTAGTAATTGTATTAGTATGCTGTTGTCAAACTTCAAACTGGCTGTATTTTATCATAGGAGTTGATAAACAATTTATTTCTTGATTGCATAGGCCTTAGAATGCAACAGAATTGCAAGAACAGGAGCCTGGACTATCCCCAGATGGGAGTAGAAATGAGAAAGTATGACACCCATATGAGTGAGAAGCATACAACAAAGAGCGTCTACACTGCTTAGTGAAACAGCACACAGCTATCAACTTGACATCAACCAACTCTATTGTAAAACCAAAAGCAATCTAGCCACCTCACTGTGTTATAGTGCCCAAGTAATAAACTTAATTAACAGGCCTTACTGACAAAGTTTGGCACGTAACAGAGCTAGCGTTGATCAGGCCATGTAGCTCAAGATACAACCCTTGTTCAAAGGACAATGGATAGTTGTGAGAGGACATTCCCCTTTTCAGTGTTAGTTTTTCCATTTACTCCAGAGAACTGCACTTGGGAAGCTCCTCAAAAGACTTAAGACTACTCAGCATATCTGAGAGAGTACCATGACTATAGTTGGAAGAAATATTAAATTATCATGGAGAAAAAAATGGGGCAAAACTAATGATGCATTTATGTTTAAGGCTTCTGAGGGGTAGGAAGGAGCTTAGGCAAGGCTGCCTTTTAACTGTTGCCCAACTCAAGATATCATCAAATGAGCTCCTAATAAATATTTGGCTTCACAACAGATCTGTACTGAAATTAATAATTTAAGTACATTTCTCTAGATATGTAATTTCAGTCAGACGAGGAAATAGTGCAAACTTTTCATTTGCTAAAAGAATTATTGTTACAACTCAAATTTAGTTCAGTGTAAGAGATTATATATTTAAGCTGATTAAAAAGGTTTCAGTTAACTGAAACAAGCATTTGGATTGTTCTAACTGTTAAAAAACAGGAAAAGTTAAATCTCAGAACACAGTTTTACTTGTTTGGCCAAAATTCACAGCACAGAACAAAACTACAAAAAAAAGCATCAGGAATGCAAGACATCTTAGAATCAGAGCAGCAATTTAGGAGGATGTTTATTAAAGGTACAGTTATGGATTCATTTATTATGTATTTAGATGATCTCTGTAAAGCTGTATTAGGCTTTTGTATTTTCCCTGGTAATCAGCATTTTTTTTAACATGGTATAATTCTGGGAATTAACTAATATTCTAAGCGAATACTTTAGGTAGATCAAAATAATTGGTATGTGATTTTTAAATTCATCACCCAAGTAACCCAATGCAAATATTCTGTATACTTCCTAAACAGTTACATTATTAATGGCCTAACATGAATCTAATTGGTTATTTTAAGAGAAAAATACTACAGGTGGCTGGGTATGCACTGCTGTGACAAATATCATGTGGCAAGTTCTCAGAAAATAGCTGTTTTTTGAAGGTTTGGATTTCTTTTAAAGCACATTTTCATATCAAACAGCACTGATCCTTACAATTAGATCAAGACCTTTATTTGACCAATAAATACTGTTACTATTAAGAACAACTATTATAAGAAAACATACAACATTTAATATACGCTACTTTTAAATGTTTAATGGAATACTCCTGATGTTTTCAGGACAAAATTATCAGCATCTGCTTTTCAGTATGTAACAAGCAGAAAGGTCAACTGTATCTAACACTCATCTGCCAGTTGCGTAAAAAAAATAACAACAGAAACTACAGACAGAGCGCCTCTAAGCTTTGGACAGGAACATTTGGAACTGAGAAAAATCTTGATGAAGGTTCATGGTGTAATCTCTTTGTTTATGCAAGTAAACATGCAATTTACCTTTATAATCACTTTACTAAGAGATATCACTTGCTTCCTCCCACAACAAAGTTTCTAAAGCTAATGTAGTTTGTAAACCATAGTGTGAGATTTATGATGTTATACTGCAGAAACCTGTTTAGCCCCCAATTTACAATCCTGGCAATTGTATTCAACTCTGTCATCATAACTAATTACAGCTAACTGAAGATTACCATATTGCAAACTCTCATCTTTGTGAAAGAAATACGATGTTCTGCTAGGAAAGAAAAAGAATCAAACATCCCGAGGGCTAATGAACAAAAATGCACTATTCCATGTTGGACTGCAAACCTAAACTCTTCGAATTGGTGCCGTAAAACTTCAAATTGCTATTTGTTGGCAAGTTGTTTTAGCCTCAAGTACTTACATAGTAAATCACCATTACGCTAATACCATACCTTTGGCCTGAAACATATTAATCTTGGTTAACAATAACTGACATTTACATTACCAATTCAATTCAGGCATTGTGGTGACTAAACATATATGCAAGAGCTTCAGGGAGAAAAGTTATTAGTTCTGATTGTGTCCTTACTTTTCACTGAGAACAATTTTGAAGAAATATTATCATCAATTCGTGTTATAATCTTATAACATAAACATTCAAATCCTAATTGATCTGTAGAACATTTGACTTGTAGTAAAATCTGCATTTGTTTCTTGGGTGCAGCTAACTGCACAACATAACATATTTCAGGTATTTTTCAAGATACATATTTCTATACTTTATCTGTTCAAAGAAACTGGGACTTTTAAAACCTGAGTTCTTAGAAAGGAAAGGAAAATGGGAATTTTAAATATTCTGAAGAACATGGCACCAGGACATGATGAATAGTACCAGATCCTCCCAGGAGAGGGAGAATGGGCTCTCAGCCATTTTTTTTCTGTTTATATTTACTAAGCCCATAAATGCATAAATAATAACAGTTTTAAACAGGTAGAGTGATTTTGCTTTGCTTTATTTAGTGCCCCCCCAAACTTTCAAGCAATCAGAAAAGTAGTACTTACTGCATTAAGTCTGTATAACCTCAGCAGGAAAACTTAACCCTCTCCTTACACCCACGCATTTTAACTGCAGTGCAGCACAGAACACATTTGGACTGAGTATTTTATTCCAACTTCAGAGAGTTCTCCACTAGACTCCAAATGCATTCTGCAATGCATTATCTTAGATTTTCATCTTTTGGAGAAAAATACTATATTTAACATAGTATTGATATTTAGATAGTATTTTTGCTACACTGTAGCAGAGCACCACACCAAGATACTGCAGTCTAACAGCATTAAGAAGAACACAAGGAATTTCATGTGTTGGGTTTTGTTTTGGGGTTTTTTTTGTGTTTAGATTTAAGAAGTCACCCATAAAGATTCTTCAGGTAACAACAGGTATTTGACTTCTGAGGAAAACAGGGTGGATTACATGTATCCCATGTTGCTTTTTGTTTCCCATCTTTTCTTGGCTTCAAATCTGAAATACAGCACAAAAAACACATTAGGAATCATAAGCATATGTGTTTCGGGTATTAACCATACTATTCTTAATAACAACAAAAATAAAAACGTATTTTTAATACTGTAATAAAGACATAAAGGCATATGTAGCCATATAACCAATACATTAATTCTGGTAAAGTCTCTGTACTTAAGTCTGATACACTGCTAAAAAAAAAAACACAAAAAAACCCCAAAACCCAACAAGGTTAAACTAAACAAATAAGATTAGCACAAGCCGATTTCAAATAAGAAAACATTTAACCATGATTGTACTGTATACACTTACTGCCAATGAGACCACAAATGTTTAATTCCATACTCAAATGACTTACCCCCAAGCAAGCTTCTTTTTCTTTCGAGCTTCTTGGGCAGCCTCCGCTTCTTGCTTGGCTTTTACAAAGTTGCGGCAAGCAGCAGCTTTGGCAATTTTCACACCAAGCTAAGACATAAAAAGGAACAAAGGAAAACTGAATAGATGCAAATAGCTCATATGAAATTTAAGCCTCACAAATTACTTGACCTGATATTGTTTCTCAAAAGCCAATAGATATTACAGTATCTTTCAAATATTAGGCTGATGCTGTACTATTAGATCGGACGAGCAAGAATGTCTCTTGAGAGAAACACAAAGGAGTGGGGTCCTGGGGCAAGCAATCCTTTTCACCAAATCCTTCATTTTCAAGAATAAAAGCAAAGGGCAGTAGCCCACTAGATCCTTTTGTTTGGTTGGTTTTTAAATAAATATATAGACATACATACAGACACACATGCAGTCTCCGTTATTAAAACCAGTCTGTGACCTCAGCTGTGCTAACACAATAGTATCAGGTCTTACCAATATGAAAACCACCCAAAAAGACAGTTTTATACAGGAAGAACTGCTACTACCACACACTTTCCAGTAGTACCAGTACCCATGTTTTAATCAGTCTGTCCAGAAAGTAAATGAAGCAGTGTCCTTAGAGCCCATCTGGCATTTAGTCTTCACATTACTAGCTTTTAGATTATTAGTGTGATAATATGCACGCTTTTCAAATAAGGTCGTAATAGGCTGTAGGTGAATACTACTTTACTTCCATAAACTTACACTGTGAGAATTAAGTTCACTTTAGTGAATGTCAAGGGGGGGGGGGAAGAATAAAGCAAAAAGGATAGAAGAAGGTATTATGAACTATGACCAGATTATTTTCCTTAATCAACATTCATAACTTGTTCATTGTAGTTACATTTTGTGATTGCTGTCATGACTTGACGTTATCTGCAACTAAATTAAGAATTATGGAAGAACTTGGTCTCAAAAGTCAACGCTTTTCTCCAAGACAAACAAGCAATTCATTTAGCCAAAACTACTACAAACTGATGTGGACAAACAGGTTTTTCTCCTATGCATTCCAAAACCTACTGAAGTTAGGTAACACGTTTCTGACTCCATATTCTAAGTCTCCCCAAAACGTCATGGGAGACCCAAGTGAAAAGAACACTACTTAACACTTTGGTTAGAGTTCCATTATTAATGTTAACACACTTCAATGATCTGCAGCATCTATATAGGCAATTCTTATTTACTCTGAGAGATGTTTTATCCAGATAAGATGAGACAGAACTCAAGAACGCATCTTCAGGTGTAAATGCACTGACATCTTCTACAACACTCCCATCAAACGCGTACCCTGTAGGTAGGTTGATACCCTGATGATTTCTTAGCAAAGCAAAGCAAAACAAAACAAGCCATTCTACCTTACAGTCCTTTCAGGGTTCAAGATTCAAGAAAGTAGCCTTTCTGCAGAAGGCTTTGAGAGTCTACATGCATGCAGGCAGTAAGAACATCAGTTTGTGCTTTGTTTGAGGCTCCAACACTGGCAACACAAACAGTTGAGAGGTAAGCATAGTATTTTAAAAGGAAAGTGTGCAAAATAAATAATGCTAAACAAGTTTTTCATCTACTATTTGCACATGTTATAAGGTCATAAATATGCACCGATGGAATCATCTTGATGCACAAAATAATTCAAGTGACCAGACATTTCAAAACTTTTATATTACTAGCTACATCATTTTTCCCAAGCATTAACATTTTATATAATCAGTAATTCAGTGCCAACATCTGAACTGCCAAATCTCAAGTCAAAGATTGGAACATAACATTCTCTTATTTGCATTGTCACTTAATATTTAAGGGCAGCTATTAACTTTAATATACTTGCAGTAGAAAAATGCTTCAGAAAACTCACCTACAATATGCAAAAAAATGTTTACTTTTTAATTGAAATGGGCTTAATTATTAGCTTAAAAAATAGAGCAATCTGATGGCTGAAGTCAGTCAATCAGCAGAACCATGCCTTCATTTTTGAAATGTATTTTACCTCCTAAAATATTTGAAAATTAACTCTTACTTTCTGATGAATAACAGCATCTCCTTAAAATACATTCTAGTGGCCTATTGAACACTTAGACACATACAAATATATACAGGTGAGGTCTACACAAGTGCTGCAGAAAGATCTTTTGATCTGTATTTCTTGGAAGACAGAATGAGTTCTCAGAACGAGTTCTTCCATCTTTGAGAAGTATGGCAAAAATGGGATAATAAGATCCTCTGTAGTGTTTGTGGAAGTAAAAAGAGAAACAATTTGAAGTATTAATGTTATCATTTCTAGGCTACATAGTCAAATTTTCAATAAAAACAAATATGTCACATATAAACACACACAAACATTTTAGTCAGATTAAATATCTTCTGCTCCCACCCACACCTAGACATACATCTTCACTCCCCCCCGCTCAAAGAAATCCATAAAAGCTTGGTCGATGGGTTTTACATAAAAAAAAAAAAACCACCCCAAAAAAACCCCACAACATTTCAGGTCATCAGATAACTCAATAAAATACAATCTTAAAAGAAGTAAGAAAGCATGAATAAAAATATATACAACAATTTC